AGGATTGGATGAATGTTCACTAGCAAGGTGTAATAGGCAGATGACACAACCTTGCTGAAATTCAAGAAGACTTAAAACATTTAGTGATTGTGTTAAGCTGGGTTGACTAGAGAAACAAATCCAGTGACACTCATGTGTAAGAAGGAACTTTATATCAAGTAATTATGCATCAAGAAAATACCCCACACACATCAAAAAAGAAAATATCCCAGCCCAATCCAAATCAAGTCCATACATCCGATACTAGTTGATAAGTCCCTCATGCAATGATGCAGGATTTAGGAAGATCACAGACCAGTGGGTGCACAGTCTTGTGGATCCAATGGCTGTGGAAGCATCACAGGGCTCTGCATGTCTCTGAGTGACCATCCAGAAAGAAAGTGAACAGAGAGAGAGAGAAAAGGTTCCCAGGATCCTCTTTATGAGAAGGCCAGGCCCAAAAGGAGTCACCCTCAGTCTGTCCTGATTGACAACGTTTACCCCCCCCACACACATTTATATATCTTCAAGTTGATGGGGAATTATGCAACTACCACAGTGATGAAGATCAAAGACTGCAGCCTTTGATTACAGCTCAATTGTAAGAAAAGAGAAACTTCACAGCTGGGTGAACAGGCAGCATCATGATAAACGGTTAGAAGACTGAAATTGTTCTGGGTCTCGTTTCATATACACTCTCAACACATGTCACCTCTAGTGATGTTAGTATATGATACATATTTTACTAAACTATTTCATATATTACTTGAATGTATATTCATATATATTTTGTAGCAAACCATAAACATTTTGCATGGGAAGAAGGTGTTATGTGCCATCTTAAAATTTGTTATGTTTGAGCCCATTGTGAGGAGGGTAAGGGAATTATGTATGATGAGCTCCCGGATGAAGATTCAGAAAATTAGAGGTCATTGACAATGCGGTCATCGCACTAGAGCCATATTACTCTCTATCTATTTGTTTCAGATGGAGGAGGAAAGAACTCTTTGTGGCTCAGTCTCGCCTCAGATACACTGGAAAAGCTCAAGCTGTAACAGTCGTTCTCACCAAAAATCTCACCACCTTTGAGTTTAGACTCTTTCTCAATCCTTTAAGATAGAGTAAAAGTGTTCCTGGGGAATTCTGAAACTCTAACTCTTTATGGGAGTAGAGAGTCTCATAGCAAAAACTCAAACAGCTCACACAGTAGTCTAAGTTGCTGCCTTTCTGAACCATTGACCAGGCCTAGATCCCTCTAGGGAGGTATCTGTGAGTCGGTTCAAACCACCAACAATTTAATTCTTCCTCAAGAAGTTAATCATTTGTGCCACCCAGAATCCCCCAAATTGTTAATACAATCTTTAAACCCCATTAACAAGACCCAGTTTAACCTTAACATCTCAATTTCCCAATAGAGCCTATGAAGACACCTTTAATTAACTGGTAGTTTGGTTTTTAAAGTTCATGTTAAGATAGCCAATTACCATCTTCTCTACAAGAATCCCAAGGGTCCTACACCATGGTGAATATCTTCTTTGCTATTAAAGAGGATTGATACATTTAGGATGACGAAAGACCACAATCATGTGGCTTAAAAACAGCATCAGAAACTTGGGTGAAAATAAATCTACTACTTTAATTCTATGTACAAAACTTGCGTATCTAGATTGAGGTGAACGCAGACCTAATACATTTGTATTTGTAGGGAGATCCAAAAAACATCTTTGAAAATGCCACTTGTGTGCTGATTCAATGAAGTCTGGTAGCTATCGACCAATGCTTACATTTATTATTAGATGTTCCTGCTTGACCTGGTGAACAATCTCTCAATTGCTCAGGAAGCAGTAAAGGTAAAGCATTCCACAATCATCCCTACTAAATTTTAAGTTAACAATATCAAAGGACATTTTCATAACTTATTCCCTCAGGAATTCATGGAATATAAGTATTTTCAGTATTCTGGTTTGTTTATAACTTAAGTAGCAAGAATTGTAATGTGTATGAGGCTATAGATTAAACGAGTCAAATTCAGACTGGAAATAAATTAAAAATTTGTGTAAATCATGAGTAAAGTTTTTAAGTACATATATACATATTCAGTATTTGTATTTTTCAATTAGAATGGGATCAAAAACAATGTTCTTAATATTTTTATTAAAAATGATTGGCACATATTCCTTCATATTTCATTAACAATAGGGCATGCTATTATTACTGAATATAAACTAATATTTATACAATGATAAAGTTTCTATAATATTTTTTATTAAGCAATTTAATTGACAGAAAAAGAAACTCAAAATCTAGATATAAAATGAGCATTTTTATAATAGCACTGACAAAATTAATATTTGATTATTTTCCAAATGCAAATAATATACAATAGTTCGTCATCCTTAAAAAAGTGAGCAAATGTTTATTTTTATAATAGATATAACTCTATGAACTTGAAATCTATTTTCGTATGGATCTAGTAATACTAGAGTACCTGTTTCTCAGTACTTTGGACAAAAGTTTAAACCAGATAAATTAACAGATGATTTTAATAGGGAGTTATAAACTCATGTCTTTTAGAAAATTAAGATTTGAAATAAGAATTAGAATATGTGTATTAGAGAGTAAAATGAAATAAGCAAGTGCAATTCTGGGTTGTGATTACAATGTGAAATAAATCAATATGTATAAAAAGGTATATGAATTTCAATTAAGTGATTTGAGTCTACATAATAATTTCAAATCTATGCTCAATAATGCTGTTTTAAAATGTATTTTCTTTTTTTCCCTCCACCCTCTAGCTCTCATTGAATTAAGAAGGAATTTAACTATGGGAAACCATACAGCACCAACAATATTCTTTCTTGTAGGACTAACTGATGATCCAAATTGGCAAATTGTGATTTTTCTCTTCCTATTTCTAACATATTTATTGAGTGTTACTGGAAATATGACCATAATCCTACTCGTTCTGCTGGATACCAACCTCAAAACGCCCATGTATTTCTTTCTTCGGAATTTTTCATTGTTAGAAATCTCAATGACTTCTGCCTGTATCCCTAGATATCTGTTCAGCCTTGCAACTAAAGATAGATCAACTACCTATAATACCTGTGCAGCACAATTGTTTTTCACAATCTTCTTGGGTGCATCAGAGTTTTTCCTATTGGCTGCTATGTCCTATGACCGCTATGTAGCCATCTGCAAACCCCTTCACTATTTGACTATTATGAACAACAGAGTCTGTAACCAGCTTGTCATTGCTTCCTGGTTGGCTGGGTTATTAACAACTTCTCCAGGACTTATCATGGGTTTGGATTTAGAATTCTGTGATGGCAATATTATTGACCACTTTTTCTGTGACGTTTCTCCTGTTTTGAAACTCTCCTGTACAGATACACAGACCATCGAATTGTACTGCTTTATTTTAGCCATTGTCACCCTCCTGATTACATTGGGAATGGTGGTGCTCTCCTATGCATACATCATAAGAACAATTCTGAGAATCCCTTCAGCCCAGCAGCGAAAGAAGGCTTTTTCTACCTGTTCCTCCCACATGATCGTTGTCTCCATCTCTTATGGCAGCTGCATTTTTGTGTACATTAAACCTGCAGAGGACATGGTAGCTTTAAACAAGGGGATAGCTGTACTCAACACATCAATTGCACCTGTTTTAAATCCTTTTATATACACTCTCAGAAATAAGCAAGTAAAACAAGCCCTGATGGATATGATTAAAAAATTGAAATTTGTTACTCTATGGAAATAAGTGTGGCTTATGTGACATTATAGCAGTAAAACTTCTTGGAACAATATGCACCCTATTTTCATTACTTTTCCTGTATATTTGCTTCATTTTTATATTAAATAGCACAAATTTCAATTTTCTTTTCAATCTACATAATTTTAATTGTAAGTTCTATCATTGTAAATTATAAAGCAAATTGTAAATTGTATCAATGATATTCTATCATTCATTGTTAGTCTTTCAAACTCTAGTCTTTCAAACTAGTCTTGTCTTTCAAACTCTTCTCTTACTTTGTCAGTGCTCATAATGTTCCATTATTAATATATTTAAGAAATTCAATACCTTCGTGTTTATTTAGCATCGAAATGCAGAAATGTACACTTTAAAAGTGTTTGTTCAATTACTTGATTTCACAAATCAAATATTCTTTCTTATACCAACCACATATGTTAATATTTTACTACTTAGATTCAGAAGTAAAATAATGAATCTAAAATAGTATTCGTTTTAAGGGTTCACAAGGATACTTTCAAATTGCTACTACATTTCTAATCTAATCAAGGAGGTTTTTCATTTGACAATCATTTCTGTGAAACCGTAAGTCAAAGAACCTACGGAGCTCATACCTACCTCAGAGGGTTAGTTCATCAGTTAATGTCTCCCTTTTCTGCCCTTCCCTCCCTCCACATCTTAACATGAGCTAAAAGGCCTTGAGTAAGTGTAACGGGTGGAAAAGCTGATAGCAGTAGTGTATCATTGTTGACATCAGATGGGTCTTGGGTGAATGCAATAACGCTTGTTCACTTGTGTTTTACTCATTTTGCAAAGGCATTCAATTGTGTGGATCAGAACAAACTGTGGATAGCCTTGAGAAGAATCAGAATTCCAGATCAGTAAATGGTGCCGCTGTGGAACCTGTACATAGAACAAAAGGCAGATGTTATCAGTATGCAAGGTCCAGGCAGCCTGCTGCAGGAACGCTAAGCAGTACGAGAGATGTGGAAGGGATAGTGCAAGTGGCAATTGACTGCTGGTGCCAAGAGAAGGCAAAATTGACTTTTCCATCATATCGAGTTTAAGGAATTAGAGGTTATGGGATTTTTTAAAGTGTCAGGTTATAGGAAGAGGAGTCTTCTAGTACAGCTTAGCCTTTGAGAAGGCCTCTGTTCTCAGAGTTCTTTGTGTTGGAGGAGAAAGTTCACACTTCAACTGTAGTATTCTTATGTGAGCTCTGCCCTACACATGCAGATGACTTCATCTCTAAAGAGAAGGAGCAATGTGTTTTAAATTCATCATGAATTCTAAACAGACTGCAAGATGAGAACAAAAGCAAGCAGAGTACAGATTATCTCCAGTAGATTCTATGGGCTGGTGCTCCGGTAGCTATGTGTTTGAGGGCTTACCCGCTCAAAGTGAGCAGTTTGAAATCACCAGTCACTCAGCAGGAGGAAGAGAAAGGAGAAAGGGTTAAAGTTTCATAAACCCATAGAAGACAGTTCTCCTCTGTCGTACAGGGTCACTGCAATTCAGTATGGACTCAATGGCAGTGAGTTTTAGTTTAGTGTGGGATTACTTTGAACAGAATAGGACAATACTGCAAGGTTAAAACTCAGAAAGGTGAGTGTCCTTTCACCAAACTAATTCACTTTGCATGCTCAGCAACAGATCTGAGACTCTGTATTTGTGTTACACTGTTGCTATGGATACTAAATTATTTTTACCCTTAAAATTATATCTTATTTTTCTGGATTTATATCAGGAAACTCTGTGGAATAATTTTACTTATTTAATTAACTCTGTGGAATATGGGTAAATAAAAGATGACTTTGACTTACTATCTTATTTTACTTCTTTCTGTTGCTTCGATGAAATACAGTGTTACTTAAAAGTGAAGAATAGTATATTTCTACTATTTTACAAAATAATTTTTCACACATTTTATTTTCCTCAACTATCAAGCTCTCAAGCCAGATATCCTTTACCAATGTGACAGACTTTAAGGTAATCTCCATGATCCTGAATTATAGTGTTCAGGCCCACGCATAATTATTCCCCGTGATAAAAGGCAGGACGTAAAATTTACCTCTAACTAATGCAATATATTTATTATTAGTTGTTACATGTTATGATGAAAAGGTGATGCAATTCTCCAGATTATGTTTCATGTAAGACTTGCTAGCCGAAAATCATTCAACAATGATTGCATCAGGACGTTGACAAGGAGCTGCCAGAGGTTCAGGTGCATTCAGAAGAGGATGTGAAACAAGGAATATCATTGCTGAAGTCAGACTGGCTGAAAGCAAAGCATACCAGAAAGATGTTTACTGTGCCAAAGCATTTTGCTGTGTTGATCAGAACAAACTATGGGTAAACTTAAGAAGAATGGGAATTCCAGAACATTTTGTTGTGTTCATGTAGAACTTGTATATGGATCAAGAGACAGCTGTGTGAAAAGAACCGCATGGGTCAAAATCAGGAAAGGTGTGTGTCAGGGTTGTATCCTCTCACCATACTAATTTAATCTATATGCCGAGCAAATCATCAGAGAACCTGGATTATATGAAGAAGAATGTGACATTGGAATTGGAGCCAGGCTTATTAACAACCTGTGATATGCAGATGAAAAACGTTGCTTGCTGAAAGTAAGGAGGATTTGCTGATGAAGGTCAAAGACTGCAGCCTACAGTTTGGGTTGCAACTCAATGTCAAGAAGACCAAAATCTTCACCACTGTACCATTACATACCATCATAATGAATGTAGAAAAGAACTGAAGTTGTCAAGGATATTCTCTTACTTGGATCCACAATCAATTGTCATGGAAGCAGCAGTCAAGATATCAAATGAAGCACTACATTAATGAAAGCTGCTATACAGGACTTCTGAAAGGCTTGGGACTAAGGTGCACCTGACCAAGCCATTGTGTTTTCAATGCCTCAGATGCAATGAAGACCTTGAATAAGGAAGGCCAAAAAAGAATTGAGGCACTTGAATACTGATGCTGGAGAAGAACAGTAAAAGTACCATGGATGGTTCAAAGGCCAGGCAAATTTGTCTTTCCAGAGGTATGAGCAGAAGAGTACCCCTGGGCTTAGAGGCAAGGATGGCAGGACTTCAACTTATATATTTTGGACATGTTGCCAGGAGACACCGGTCCTGGAGGACATCATGCTTGGTAAAGTGGAAGGGGAGCGATAAAGAGGAAGGCCCTCAACAAGATGAATTAACAGTGGCTGCATCAGTGGGGTCAGGCATAGAGACAATTCTAAGGATGGTGCAGTTATGGACAGTGTTTTGATCTGCTGTGCCTACGTTCGCTATGGGTCAGAAATGACTCAATAGCACTTAACCACAACACAACAGAGAGTCACAACTTTCTCTTCTTGTGGCTGACTGTGAAGAAACAAGCTGCCATGAATTTTACGCCCATGCAGTTACTAGCTATGCCGATGGACTGAGGACACTGGGGAGTTTGCTGTTGGACCTCCAGAGGAGAACCCACCTTTATGAGATCCTATTTGTACATTTGTAGAACATTCATTAGCAGCACCTATAGATTCTGACATAATAAATATATGCTATATCAATGCGCAAAGTTTGTTATTCTTTGCTGGGATACAGAAAACTATTACATACAATACCCCCATTTGTCTCATAAGGAAAGGCTTTTTAAAGAACCAGAACAGACTCTGTAAGGGTTCCAATCCTTCTGTATTAGACTTCCAAGCAACAGGTGTTCTTCTGTACAAAGTCAATTATTTTTGTATTTACTGATAGGCTTGTCTTTTAAGATAAATCATAATTGTTCATATAAGTTTTAATTATTTTACTTATTGATTTTTACATTTACTTTTTAGTAAAAATGATACATTATATCAATCATGTCAAAAATGATTCAGTGACACTGATTATATTCTTAAAGTTATGTACCCATTTATGCAAGTTTTTCTGAATTTTTCCACAGCCATTTACACATAAGTTCAGAGATCTCTACAATGCTCATCTAACTTTTTAAGTTGCTACTGTAAACATAAAATCAAGTAAATAATTTTCTAAAAGAACATATGTTTTGTAGTATATATAATTCAAACTAAAATTTCTTCACTCCCGAAATTCAGTGATATCCTTAGCTGCAATGTGCACTTGAAGATGTTGCTCCTAGTTTTCTAGATGTGCTGCTGCTGTTGCTTAAGTGAAGTGATACTTACTCTTTCTTTTGGAAGACATATGCAAATAAGTAAGGTTAGTAAATAACTGTATTGCTAATGGAGGCTGCTTTTCAGAATGTGCTTTATTTCTCCATCTCTCCAAGTAGAAATATTATAGAAAAAAATAGTAAATGCATGAGATCTACCATAGCCTCCCAGTCTGATTCTTATTGGGGGAAAATATCTACTACACATTTAAAATCGTATGAGGATCCTTGACGTGGCAGTGGTTAAACATCCTGACCTACCAAAAAGACGAGCTGTGGGAGAAAGGTGAGATAACCTGCTTGCATAAAGATTTACACTTCAAGCAGCATCCAAACTCTGTGGGATAGCTCAATATTAGAGAATCACTAGGAGTCAGAATAGACTGAATGACAAGGAATGTGTTGTTTTTTTACAAACTATGAAAATTAGCTGTAGAAGCATCATGGGACTATGGGAAATATGATAACAAGCGTGGGAAGATCTCCTCCAAAACCAAAAGAGAATTCTCATCTAGAGGAAATTCCTGAACTCTCGGGAAGCCACAGAACAACTTCAAAAGTTAAGTACATCAAAGTTCCTAAAAGTTGGAGATCACTAAAACCTGCTCGCTATTATTGACTCCATTTACTATTGACCAATGGCCTGATCCTTGTCTGTGTGTTCCTCCTCACTAGTATGACTTGATCTTTGCCTGCACATTAGCTAACTCACCCCATTTAGCTCTGTGGTAGTCACCTACTCTGGTGTCAATTTAAGGATTAAGAGTGTAGGAGTGGAGTCTAGGCTGTGAATCAGGAGATAGCCAATGAGACTTCTTTGTGGGCAT